CATGCCCCGCTGCCCGAAAAAACTTTATTCTATTAACTCAAGTAGCTCAAATACCCTGGATTTCATTTCAACCAATGATTCAATGTCCCCATGTCCCGAGCTCCGCTGTAGAAACTACACTATAAGGAAAATGATGAGTAACATTTACTTTTACAAAAAAACAATAAACAGAATGACTAATGGCTTTTCATCACCAAAATAACAGTACGAAGATGGTTTTTATTGTCCGAGAAGTAATAGTAAATATAAATTCGATAAGAAACAAACAAGTTTTCTTGAATATATGTTAGGAAAATTTTTAAGCAAACAAAATGAAGTAAGTGATTCCTATCTCAACTAGATTTCAAACTCAACTGCAACATAAACAAATAAATCAATTCTAATTTTTAAATTAAATAAAAGTTGAAATTTTTCTTTTTGCTGTAGAAAATATAAATTATAATAATACATCTACTGATGTTGAGAAAATTTATTCATCATCATCTTCAATTTCAATTAGTAATAATCCATCATCATCATCCTTAAAACAAACAGCAGATTGTTCTAATAGTCAAAGTGAATAAATTGAGTTGATTTTATCAAAATAATCTTCAGTTCTTCTCATAAGTATAGAAAAAAGACACTTTTTTACTATGAAAGAATATACTTATGACTGATCAAAAGCTCTAAGAATATTAAATAAAAAAATATAAAGATAAGAGATATTTTCTATTTTATTTTATCAAATTCTCAGAATGATTGTGATTATTATTTAACTAGAGTTCGATCATTTCTAACAATTTGTTAAAAGGTTTATTGAATTGTTTTTCGAAAATAGTATCAGATATCTTGGAAACCATATCAGCTAATCATGTTCGATTTGTTTTAAAATTTAGGAGTTTTTTTGTGCTAAGCCATGTGAAATACTCTGTACTGCTATGATGATGACATATAGATGCGTTTTACATAGGTTAAGCACACATCACTGAATGCTAGCTTGCTTATTGAAAATTAAATGTCAAACGCTGTTATTTATAAAGAACCTAGTTTACAGGGGCGGCGCGAGCGGGGGGGGGGTTGGGGGAGGGTACCCCCCCCTGCTTTGGAAAGTTCGACTGCAGCTTTCTCCGATTTTGAGAAAAACTGTCCCAAAATTACTCCATTTTGGTAGAAAATGTCTTAAAATTTCTTCAATTTGGCAGAAAATATCTTAAAAATTCTCTAGTTGGTGAGAGGATATCTCAAAATTTCTTCAATTTGGCAGAAAATATCTTAAAAATTCTCTAGTTGGTGAGAGAATATCTCAAAATTTCTTCAATTTTGCAGAAAATGTCTCAAAATTTTTCGAGTTGGTGAGAATACGTTCCAAAAACTTCTTCGATTTTGGAAAAAATGTCTCAAAACTTCTCCGATTTGAGAGAAAATGTCTTAAAATTTCCCCAACCAATGAGGAAATGTCTCAGACTTTCTTCAATTTGGGACAGAATGTCTTAAAATTCCTCGAATTTTGAAGAAAATGTCTCAAAACTTCTCTGATTTGAGAGAAAATGTCTTAAAATTTCTCCAGTTAATGAGAGAATGTCCCAAAATTTCTTCAATTTTGGAAAAAATGTCTCAAAATTTCTCCAAGTTTGGAGAAAATGTCTGAAAAATTTTTCAACTTCCGAGAAGATATATTTTGAACTTCTTTCGGTTCTGAAGAACCTTTATTACAATGTTCTCCATTTTTTGTAATTGATAACAGAAGAATTCACCTATCTACTTGCTTTCAAAAACACTAGTAAAAAAAAGGTACTAGGTACTTACAATTTAGAGACTTTTTTCTATTTTCTCCCATTTTTCATAATACCCCCCCCCCCTGCTCTGAGCTCTTCGCGCCGCCCCTGCTAGTTTAAATGATACATTGAATGAAACACGATTAATCATATAGTTTCCAAAATACATAAAACTTTTTCAGAAAAACAATTCAAGAAATCTTTTAACAAATTGCTCGAAAAAATCGAGCTTCGCTGAAATAATAATGACAACTGTTCTGAACGTCTGATAAAATAAAACTTAAAATATCTCTTTGTTTACATTCTCATTTGATATTCTTATAACTTTTGATCATGGCTAGGTATATATTTATTTTGTTTAGACCCAAAAAAAACAAAGAAGATAACTAGTATGGCAACGGATTTAACCGTTGAAGAGCTTCTTCAAGAAAATGCACAACTAAAAAAGAAAATTGTTATGTACAAGAGAAGGTATATAGCAACGTCGATTACTTATTTTTTTGTGTTCATTGAACATAATATCATCACAGGGTGTTTCATAAAAGTTGAGGTGTGACAAAATTCGTTTATATTGATCCATAGAACATTGTCGAATCATTATGTTTTTATATCAGCTTTGAGTACTCGAGACGATGTTTCCAACAATATATAATTGAATAAGATCATTCCTTTTAGTACTGGACACATACATATGAGAATGAGATGATAAATTTTTCAAAATCGACGAAAATGATACAAGATATAACAAAATGTTTGCAAGGTTTTTTTTAGAATTTCGTACATATCTCAATGTAGCTAGAGATGTGCAGTGTCGGTGAGAATACTGAAATACTGACAGTGTTCAGCGGAATACTGACAGACCGACTATGTCAAATTATTCGCATTTTATCAAGGAGTAAACAGCGGACTCCGAGACTCCAGAACTTCATTGAACTTCACTGGACCCTGTTGGAGTCCATATGTGTTTGGAGAAGGTGTGATCGTTCCAGCTCAGTTCTTTGGAGTACCCATACGATCTTGAGGGCTTTCCTACCGTCGTACCCATAGGTCCTTAAGGGCTATGCTATCGGGTATCCATCGGACTGTAAAGGCTATGCTATAGAGATACCCATCGGTTCTTAATGGCTATCCTATGAGATACCCATAGGTCTTTAACTCTTTGAGTACCAGCATATATTATAATATACACTTTTTTCAAATTCCTTAATGCTTGAATAAGACGCGAATGATAATAGATATTGAGGCGGAGTTTTCTCTACAACATAGAAGAGGCTTCAGTGCATATATTTATACAAAAATTAGAAACCTAATGAATTTTGTAACAGCGCCCAATCGAATTGTTGAGCCATGTCAAATACTCTCTCACAACGATGACTATAATACATCCACGCCATCTCCATGAGATGCACGAGAAGTATCAAAATTATGCAGATTTTGAAAAAATTTTTATGAAAATATAGCGCAGACTGCCTATATGAAATATAAAGTCTAAAAGAAGTTTCGTACATTGGTTGAGCAATGGTACTCAAAGAGTTAAAGGTTTTGCTATAGGGGTACCAATAGATCCTTAAAGACAATTCTATAGAAGCACCCATAAGTCCTCAAGGATCCTCCTATAGAGATACCTATAGGACTTCAAGGGCTGTCTTACAGAGGTATCCATAAGTCTTCAAGGATTATCCTACGGAT